AAATTCTATTTCTATTCTAGTATTTTAATTTAATTATTCGAATTTAATAGTTGAAGAATTGACAGCGTTTATTGATAATTACTATAGTAAAAATATAATAAAAATTGAAAAATTGTGCAATACAGTTACCTGATTTTGCGTGTAATAATATAATTTCAATTCTGTATTACGATTTTGCCCATCTTTGTTTCATCACTGAAGTTTGGCGATAGAAATCAGTGGTAGGTCCTTAGAAATGAGTAACATGTACCTGAAAATCAGCGACATGTTCCGGAAAATTACAACTTTCTTTCTTCTGTGAAACTAGCAGAAGGGTGAGCAGCTCAATTGTGGAACCCTCAAACGAGTCTAAAGCCCTTCAGAACAGCCATTGATAACACTTGACTACACAATACTGTTCTATTGATTGGGAGGGGGGATTCCGCAACTGGACAGTTTACGTGGTGACTGCCAAAGAAAACTCCCTTTCAACCTTGCGGGATCTTTTTTGATGTAAAAATAAAAACTGAAAAGATACCGCTGGTCTGAAGGGGGACCTTTTCTGGCAATAACAACTGAAAAAGCCCGAGAATGGGCCAATATATTACATGGAATAAAGATATTTGGTGGATACAATCATTTAAAAAATCCAGTTTATCCTCGGGTATGAATAAAAAGCTTATTAGAAATCCAGATTGTAAATGCTTGTATTCTAATTATTACTTCAACACCTGTTATATTTATGTTATTCACAAACATAATACTCAATAAATCCAATTATTCTTGTATACTAGTATCGGAATAATTGAGCACACGGACGAAAAAATTTAATAGAACAACCTATCGAATTCGTTAGAAAATTCTATTGAATTTCTATTGAACTGTTTGGCCGATTCTATTGAAATGTTTAATAGAAAATATTCAGTAGAAAAGTCGATAGAATTCAATTTTTCTATATAACTTATTCTATTGAGATCTTTTCAATAGAATTTCCTCGGCTCAAGTTTTTTCATTTGATTTTCTTGATGAGAAGAAAAGAAAAATAGAATGAAAAAAACTTAGAAAATTTTAGTCGGGCAAATTGTATAGAAAATATATGAAAAGAATAAGTTACATAGAAAAATCAAATTCTGTTGAATTCTTTTTGTATTGAATGTTTTCTATTGAACATGTCAATAGAATCAGCCAAAAACTAATAGAAAGTTTAATAGAAATTCAATACAATTTTCTAACGAATTCGATAGGTTTTTCTATTACATTTTTTTGTGCGTGCAATTAGACAAGGGTTACTCATAAATACATTTTTGGAAGCATCGTAATGATATTCCAGTCATTTTTACACACATTCCTTCATTCAATCAATTATTAAATTTAGATAAAAATGTATGATGTGGATGTCTATTTTATGATGAGTCGACAGTGTGTTTCCCACTTCACGTTGTATTGATTTTCTCAAAAGTGCTATGGGAGCATGCTATGATTGCCTGGTTACTCAATAATTGTTGTATCACGTTTGAGGTCCTCCGGATCAGGTACGTGTCGTGTTATTGCCCTTTGTCATCAAAAGCTACTGGAATCCACTTACACGTGATTGGAACCCCTTCCTCTTGTCCTATAGGTTACAGCATTGAACACGATTCATCTTGATCTGACGGGTCGCATTATCCTCAGTATATCAATTTGTGGGGAAATTTAGATACAGCAAAATAACACTGTGAATCAATCGAATCGAAATGACGATGTTAAACGACGGTTTCTGTTCCTAGAAATATAGGATATGTTATCTTGACCTTTTGGAGGAGGGGTTTAGTGGAAATGTATTGTAATTGTAGGTTCGGTAGATCTCAACTGCCGTTCAATATTTCCAATTAGGTTTTGAGTAAATTTGAATAAAACAATAGTTATAACGCGTTCGATTTAAGAAGAATTCACAGTTATTTTGAAATCGAAGTGCACGCAAGATATTAATTAATACACGTATGAAAAAATTTCATAGGAAAACTTACCGAATTCGCTAGAAAATTTTAGGGAATTCTGGTTAAAATTCTACTTGTTTTTTGTGCTGATTCTACACGAAGAGAAATATTCAATAAAAATTACGTATCTTTTCCGTAATTCCGGAGCGAAATGTGATTGTCGGAAATTTTACGGAATTGTCACGGAATTTTTCCAGAGCGTTTCGTAATTTTTACCTGAATCTCCTATGAAAAATTACGATACCATCACTTAAATTTTTGACTCGATTCCGTAATCGGCGAGCGAATTGTGAGTTCCGTAATTTTTATTGAACATTTCTCTCCGTGTATGAGATATTTGATAGGAAAAGTCAATAGATTGCGATTTTTCTATATGAATATTCCCTTGGAATTTTTTCTACAAGAATACTTGGGTATGAATTTTGAAGTTTTTTTTCCTCGGATCCTGCAATGCAAAACGAAACAAAATATAGCGGAAAAACAGAAAATCCGTGCGCAATAGTTTTAATAGAAAAAATCGCAAGAGAAAAATTCAAGCAGAAAAATCGAAATCTATTGACTTTTTTCTATGAAATATCTAATTGAATCTGCGCAAGAAACGAATAGAATTTTAACGAGGATTCTCTAGAATTTTAATCAAATCCCCATAGAATTTCTCGAGAATTTCAATAGAATTTTCCAGCGAATTCGCCCAGGTTTTCTATTGAATTTTTCTATACGTGTAAGTAAAATAAGTCACCAAACAGTTGCGAGTCGTGACTATTCGGCGTTATCATTAGTGTAATAATTTTCTCCGTGCATGCACCCAACGAATCAAAGTACGAGAACATATTCTTCCGAATTAGCTATTCAGCCTATCTACGTAGTGGACCTTAAACGTCGAGAGCCGATTACACATGGAAATAAAATGAAAATGAGAGAAACGCAGGATTATCGCGACTAATCATCAAAGCTTATTTCTGAAGGGGCAGATCACATAACCGTGGACAGAGGCCTGTGCAGAGGGCACTTTCAGTAGTTTGAAGGGGAGATTATTCTAAAAGGACGGAGTTTCCCCTCAACAGGGACAGCATCTCAAATAAATCGTCCTCCTCCCTGAGGATAACTTGGAGAATTTTTCCCTCGATAGTTTTTCGTATTAGCGAATGGGGCGCGCTGCACGCATGGTAGCTTAAATGCGATGGTGTCATCTATCTACGTTTTTACGAATACCGCCAATGTTTTGATAATTTATTCGAATATGATTATATCAATAAAATATTTGAGAGAACATTAGTCACAGGTAATGACCCGATTGGAAATTGCTTCAGATCCACCTGCACTGCTAAACATTTTTATCTGAAATTTCCGGTACACTATTTGGAAATTTTTATCGAAGTTAATTACATATGAAATTTCAAGGAATTTCGTCATTGAAAATTCGGAATTTCGGGAAAATCAAAGAGAACTGGAAATTTCAGTTCCATTTTCCCCTAAAAATGAATGGAAAACCAGACAATTCCGGTGAAAATATTCTTGATTTTTCAGTACAGTGACGCTGAATGCGATTTAGGGGTAAAAGAATTATGAAATTTCAGATTTCATTGAAAATTCAATGCAATTTGGCACTGAATATTCATATTAGATTGGAAATTCAAATAAATAAAGGAATTTTTTTACTGAATTTTCAGTGAAACCTGAAATTTTATGTTTTTTTTCCCTAAATCGCATTTTGTGTTACTATCCTGAAAATTAGTAGTCAACTATCCATGAAATTTCATTTTTTCTCTACCAGTATATCGTTTATTAGGAAAATGATGAGCAGTGTAAGACTGACTGGCAAATTTTAAACGGAGTTTGGATTTACAAATAGAGTCCAATAATATTTTAATCTATTTAATTATTAAACATCAAAGTTCCTTTAGTATTCATTCGATTTATTAGTGAGACAAAAATACCTTCTTTTTTCAATATAACTAGAACAGGGCGTATTGTTTTCCATGGGTGCCAAAATAGTAAAACCTTGCCATCTCTCATCACTTTCATTAATTTTCATCTCAATAACAAGAATGCAGGAAAAATGAATGGTTTCAACAAAGTTTTGCAGAATGAGAATTTAATTGTTGAATAATTCATTTGAAATCGTTATAATCCTCTTGCCTTTCTTCGGTTTCTCTTTTGCTTTTTGCGTCTTCTTTCATTTTTAGGGATGTATTATGTACTATAGACATATGTACTATCCTATATATATTTTTTTTACAAAACTTAATTTTTTTACAGTTGACAAAAATACAGTATAAAACATATATTTATAATGTATATACTATATATTGTATAATATAATATTATACTATATATACTATATACTATACATGCATGCCTTTTTTACAGTACAGAACTGTATTTCATTTTTTTAATTGTTAAAAAATGGACATCATATTACATTACTTGATACGCGGAAGAGACTTCAATAATCGTTAAACCCGATTTTTTAAAAGAGGATTATTGTAGATAAAACATCTTATTTTTCAATATTTATTTCTTTCAATTTTTTTTTGCTCCGCTCGATAATCGAAACGACGTCTGTTTCATTAAGCCCAAGCCAATATTTTCGCAGGCGTCTGAAGGCATCTTGATTTTATCTAATTTGCAGTCAATGAAGTGATACCGGAGAATAATGGTCAATGACACGTAACACAGGTTTCCACAGATAGAGAGATATATTATTCATAAGACTAGAAATATATTCTTCATAAGGTTCTACTACTAATTTCCTTGAGTTGCAGAACACCGCATTCGAGCTCATGTCCCAAGTAATCCCCATCGATTACTATCGCTTAAGGATTGACGTAAGCAATTTTGGCGGGAGTTTTTCACAAGAGTAAATTTTTTTATGGTCAAATGCCATGAAATTTTGGCAAAACGTTGTTTGAACCATTATAAGATGATCGATCTATCGCTTAGCTCTTTGTCATATTGTCGATATCAACTAAAACATAAAAAACCAAAAAAATCGATATTGACAATATGACGAAGAGCTGAGCGATAGATCGCTCATTTTATAATAGTTCAAATAACGTTTTGCCAAAGTTTCGTCTAGTATCTTGTACGAAGAATATCAAATCAAAATATTTTCCCCTCTGAGTGCTAGTAAAGTGGGGGATACGTAATTATCGGAATTTCATTCCCCTACAGTCCCTGTGGTATCTTGTACGAAGATTGGACCGTATTTGACTTATTCTACGTATGTGTCACATGATTTTCACTATTTTTGTGATGGGACTCCTCCTGAATTTCCTGCAGAGTTTTCCCTTTAGTCTCCGGCATCCACAAGTAGATGAAAATGCTGCCACCTAAGTTGCAAACTGTGAATATCCAGAAGGCAACGTGAACACCAATTGAATCGCTAATGAGCTGATAAGATTTCCCAACGAAGAAGCCAGTCAGATTCGCAAATGAAACATTAATTGCGCACGCAAGAGACTTCACATTTGTTGGGAACAGTTCGCCGTTCATTGTCGTCGGCAGCGGAGCGTAACCGTAACAAAAACATACGACGTAAAGCATGCATCCAGTCGCAGGCAACCACTCTATCGAATTAGTGCTGAGATTCAAATACTGTAGATGAAAGTAAATGGCAACGGTGCTCATGGTGATCATGGATCCGATGGCCGAAAATAGTAACGCCGGACGTCGCCCGTGACGATCGACGAACAATGTGCAAAGTACCGTGCCAATTACCTGGATTGCGCCTAATATTATCGCCAAGTATTTCCCCTCTAGTTCGACATTAGCCTGATCGAATATGGTCTCGCTGTACATCATAATCGCCTGATTCCCAGAGCATTGTTGAAATAGCCTCAGAACAAGACCAATAATCATGGACTTACAATTTCCCGGAACGCAAAAGAGTTCTCTTAATCCACCACTGTGAGCCATTTCGGCAATGACGGATTTTTCTATGATCTGGAGTTCCGCTTGAATATTATTGGTCCCGCGGAAGGCAGCCAGCGATTTAGCGGCTTCTTCGGGATATCCACGCCGCACCCAGTAGTACGGGGACTCTGGCAACCATATGAAGCAGCAGACAAAGGGTATCGGGAGCACTAGCGAAATGAGTGCACTTGTTTGGATAGACACAAAGGGACAGATCGCATATGAAAATAGTACAGCCAATCTCTGAGACATCGTTATTATAGTGAGCAAAATGCCCCGAATTTTCGCCGGAGCAATCTCACCCAAATACATGGGCAAAACTGAAAAGCTCAATCCTGTGCCCAGGCCAGAGATGATCCTTGAGACAAGCAGTTCCTAAGTGGAGAATTATGAATGGGGCTTTTAGCTAATTCTGAATGGATTGATGCCGATATAATAGTTACCCATGGAGAACGAGCGAAAATAATCATCGCCCAGCCCACAAACCATGGCAGGCTTGCAGCTATCAACAGGGTTTTCCGTCCTGTGTGCTGCGAAAGTGCGATCGACATCAGAGGGCCAATTGCATTGCCCAACATAAAAGCTGATGCAATCCAGGCTCCTTCATCGTCTGTCATTAACAGGGGGGAATCGTCCAGTTTGTACAATGGGAGAACTGGTGAACTCCATCCGTAAGGCGTACTACCAGCGAATATACCGCCGTAGCCTGAAAAAACAATCCAATTTTAAGGAAATTTGTAGCTCTTCACAGGTGTGACCTATCACTAATTTGACTAATGTCTCTCACATCACAGGGCTAAAATTACATGGCTTTTCTGAGGGAGAACGTTGTGTTATTTGCCGAGTAAATTTTTTTTCTTCTCGTATACCCTTTCGGGTTTTTACGATTTGTTCCCCTCCCACCTCCCAATCCCTTGTACCGCATTCGCCGAAGGACAAGGGAAAACCTCATTTGAGGGAAAAACCTGCCCACGTACAGTCGTCTCTTGCGAGACTCCCGCTCGACAATGAAACCGTGAGATTTAGTGTATCACAAATTATGGCCCCCCAGCCGGGAATCGAATCCGGGTCTCCCGCATGCCAATCCCACACTCTAACCATACAGTCACTGCCGTTGGTAAATAGCCGAGTAATATGGACTCAATCTCAATTTAAGATACTAAAGTTTATGTATATTCAACATGACAGTGTAACTGATCATTTCGACACGAAGAATAAATTAACCGCTGAATAAAATACCTATAATTTTGAGGACTTTTTAACTATAATTCGATGGTGATGGAATATAGTCAGAAGAATTATATTTTTCTCTCAGTGTAGGAGGGAAACCAGCGATCCACATCTTATGCCGTCACATCATAATACGACAATATGATGTGACGTCAGAAGATGTGGATCGCTACATAAAGTCTCATCGTTGTGATCATCAACCCTCTGACGAGAAAGTCTTACCGATTCTTGTCGGTGCGAGCGGGGGTGGGGGTACGGGCAACCGTGCTTCAGCACTGTGCGTGTTAGTGAGCCTTTTCGTCAGAGGGTGAATGAACCGCGATCTTATTCCCATGCGATCATGATCACGTCTAATTTGAATGAAGCCATGTTGATTGGAGGAAAAGAATCTCGAAACGCACCGCTTGACACAGGGTTTGAGAGAAATTGTAGAGCAACATTTCGATCACAGAAGCACATACACACGAACAGACACGGACTTTCATTGGAAAATCTAAAAGGACCATTTTAGGGATTACGAAACGTGGGAATGTCATAAAATTCTGGCATTCCATCAGAAAGTTCATAAAATGGCAAATGCGTTTTTTATTCGAATTTTAAGACCCCACAATATTTTATTATTTTTTGATCAGCCTGCGAGATCTCCGAGAGCCAGAAAATTGCATTGACATGAAGGAAACGCTAAACCTCCGGTGACTGATACATATAAAAGAGATTGAAAAAACACAAAAATTTATCATCGAATTTTCCTAGTGTTCATAAAAAAATAGTGCGACCCTCTCTCTCTTCAGTTAACTATTCCTCTTAATGACTGCAAACAACAATCACGATAGAACCACAAATCATACATGTAAAGTGCTACCAGAGAAAGAAAACACTGCACTAAATATTGTCACATTCTCACAAAACTAAACTAACCGGCAATGGCTGCTGCGTAAAGCCACATCGTTGACTGGAAAATTTTCTTCTCAATTGACGGTCTTAATAGGAATTCAGTGTGTAAATACACTGAACAGATGACAAGGTTTTATCACTGCTATATCATATGTTGTTGACTCTCCATTGAACTGCTTACGTTTGTGTGAACTCATAACCAATTAAATTCTATTCATAGGTGTGCGGTTTCCCAATGTCGGATTCATTAATAATGAACAAATTGGACGAACATCAAATTCATCCACTAATATCCTTCATTTCCACGAAAAAAAATAATAATAATAATCCCGTCGTTTTAAGGGGAGACTTCGATGAGTTTTATACATCGCGAGTTATTGAGGTACACAGCAAACACGAATGTCTGAATTTCACACACCTTTTGTAGACATTTTTCAGACACTAAAAAACGACTGAATAAAATGAAAATGTGTCTGAATTTCAGACGAACCGGTGTCCAAACATCTTAATTCATGCTTGAAATTCAGACGAATGTTCATTTTATTCAGACGTTTTTAGTGTCTGAAAAATATCTACAAAAGGTGTGTGAATTTCGAATCCCGGAAAAAATAGATCATGGAAAAAATACACGGAGAGACATTTTCTAGAAAAATTCTAGTACGAGTATTCCGTGCACGACTCCAAGAACCCGTAATGTACAAAACTGAGCAGAATCTCTCATTTAAGAAAATGTTGGCCCTGTGCCCACAATTTTACTTGTTTGTTTAATAAATCTATTGAACCTATTTGGAACCCAACGAAGTTGTGTAATGATGAATACCGTGGATATTTCTTTTTCATCACGCTGTGACGAAAAGTGAACGTTTAGGCACGCTCCGCATTGTGATGAAAAATATTGTTCGTAACTCGTGAAAAAATGTTTTTTAGCTTGTGGGATTATATCACATATAAACCTCCCACTCGTCAAAAAATACTTTTTTGCACTCGTTACGAAATATACTATTTTACACTAGTTTTGAAATCCACTGAAGTGAAATCCGAAATTCACTTTCCACGAAAAATGCTAGAATCACGTAAACAACAAACCGCCGAGCGTGTATAATTCTGAAGCGATAACAGTGACATTGACTACTATATCGTCTTAGATCGGTGAATAGTCATGCGTTTGAGGCCGTTTCCATTGGGGGCTCAAGCTAGAGTAAATTTACAACTATGTTTAATGTACACAACGGTACCTTTTCCTGATAAACAAGTGGATAATTGCTTTTTTGTAAATGAGTGTAGTTATTGTTGCTAATGGATTAGCACTTTGTTTCCGAATGACTTCACTTTTTGTTAAATTTTTATTTTGTATTTGGGATTAAATAAATGATAGAAAGATACAAAAGAAATGACACGTTTTCAGACTAAGAGCGAAGCTAATAGAATAACAAGAAAGAATGAGACGATCGTATATGAAGGTGGTCAAGAGAGAGGAAAAGAACAAAGACGCAATAATACTATTCTCTTCTTCTCTTTTCTCATGCCGCAGTATAGTATTATAAATTGAAGTACCATCAAACTTTATAGGCATTATTATTTTTTTTAATTATGCTACATTCAAACGCTCTTAAGACCTGAATTTGGATTCAGTCAGGGTTCAATCGAAGTTTAATGGTGACTATAGCGCCGTTACTCATATGTTTTGTTCATGTAATTAATAATGTAACGAATTTGATAGACAATTCCATTTTTGTTAAGTCACACCATAACTTGTAATCGTTTCATTTTCATTCGACTTATCTCCTAATTTGTAATTTTGTCATTTGAAAGACTTCACTGAAAGAAATTAAATGGAAAAATTCATAATAATCTTCTGTATCCTCATTCTGTTATTAATCTCTACTAATGGGGTCGAAATATTTATCATGAAATGCTTCTTTTATTTAATAATGCTTATAATTGATATTCTTCGTTGATATGATTACAGTATTGTTTGAATATATTCTTAAATTTAGAAAATGGAAATAAGAAAAGAACAGAACAAACGTGGAAGCGAGTAAATCATGGTGTGCTTAATGATATCAACATGATCTTGTCGTAATCTCCCAGCCCGAACAAACAATATTGCGCGAAATACTGAGACCAGCATGAAAGCCGACACGATCTAAGTTCCTCTATTATCAGAAATAGTCACTTGTGGGTTCTCTTGCTTACAGAGAGGTGAAGTTGGTGAACTCTCTATCTGAAGGGAATTCCTCCCTACGAATACCCCGATGTATATAAGAACAATAAACTGCGAGAAATATAATAGTAGAACACGAGAGAAGTTTCTTACTTCCACTGCATCCAATCAACCGGCAATATCTGCCGCCTAGAGCAACATCTTTAACATCAGAAATGAATTTTGTAGATGTACCTGCCGACAAGTGGAAGCCAGTAGACATCGTAAAAGCTATCATGCACGAAAAAATTAAATAGAAAAACCTATCGAATTCGTTAGAGAATTCTATTGAATTTCTATTAAATTTTCTATTAGTTTTTGGCTGATTCTATTGAAATCTTCAATAGAAAATATTCAATAGAACAATTCAACAGAATTCGATTTTTCTATATAAAAAAGAAACACGTTCATGTTTATTCTTTTCATATATTTTCTATAGAATTTGCTCGACTCAAATTTTCTAAGTTTTTTTCATTCTATTTTTCTTTTCTTCTCATCAAGAAAATCAAACGAAAAAACTTAGAAAATTTGAGCCGAGGAAATTCTATAGAAAATATCTCAATAGAATAAGTTATATAGAAAAATTGAATTCTATTGACTTTTTCTACTGAATATTTTCTATTGAACATTTCAATAGAATCGGCCAAAAACTAATAGAACAGTTTAATTAAAATTCAATAGAATTTTCTAACGAATTCGATAGGTTTTTCTATTTAATTTTTTCATCCGTGATCCGGACGGCGAGTGACTCATTTTTTGTTGCATTCCTGATTTGCGATATAATTTCTGTGTTTACAGTTAACTGATAATTACAGAAATGTACCACGCCTTTTTCTGATTGGAAATATGCACCACATGTATCCATACGCTCACGATGATTGATCATTTATCCGTCAATTTGAAAAATTAATTGGAAGTAAAGAATAACAATTATGTATGGACTATGGATAACGAAGATGTGCAATTGCAATATCGGAGATGAACACTGAGAGAAAAATCTGAAGTTCGATTTACAATAAGAAAATAGTTGAGGCAGTTTTGGTGAACGATACGATTTTTTTTTGTATGCGTCACATAACATTATAGTAACTTCACAAGCGTAATTTTTGCAAATCAAAATGCAGTTAAACTAACCAAAGTTCGAAAGTAACCACGACAAATCTATCGTGAGGAGAACTATAAAATAGTTGCAATGACTACATTCTATTATAGTAATTACTTCTCCGGCGATAGTTACCGTAACCCATGAAAAATTGTTGAGGACTTGATGACTATAATTCGATGGTGATGGAATATAGTCAGAAGAATCATATTTTTCTCTCAGTGAAGATAGACATTGAAGAATTTCTCGAAAAAAAAATTAAGTTGAAATCTCTCATCGGTATATCCTGTGATGTACAAGCAAATTTATTTCCAAGTATCGATCTCCGGAAAAGAGACTAGGAATCTCCGTAATCTCTCTGTCTCTAACTGAACACTCAGGAGGTCCATGCAGATACTAGGGAGCTCGCGCGGCGTCTCAAAGTCTCTGGAGCCTCAGAGAGATCCTCCGAGACGCAAATTTTTCATCTCGAGTTTCCACAAACGTACTATGTTATGAGGGACAAAAAAAATCCATGCATTGCAAAATATAATACACAAGTATATTTCCTGAATTTTTATTACAAAAATGTTCTTAAATCTATCTTAAAAAATTGTAAAAATAAAGTAGACTCTCGTTATAATCCCATTTGCCCACATCGACTTTTTCGGAGATCAAGGGGTTTCCTATTATTTTCTTGTTTCGCTCTCTGCGGTGGTTTTCCTTTTTCTGAGTCCTATCTGGTTCGAATTGTTTTCCTTATTTAAGGATATCCATGTATTTTTTACAGTTTGATGCACTATAAATTCAACCATTTTCCATCATCAAATTTGTCAATTAAATGACGGGAGAAAAAATCATGAATATTCAGCGTCATTAAAATGACATTTTGCACAGAATTATAATTTTTTCAAACATTCGTTGTTTATAAATGAATAACTAAAATTGTTTAAACTTCCGGAAACCTTATTTTTTTAGGCGCGAAATTGATTTCTGGTAAACTTCTGAATATGAATAAATTTGTTACTATTCCGAACAATGATTTTTATGCTGAAAAATTTATTGTTTATAAATTATTTATCGAAAATTGCAATTTTTTAATTATTTGACAAATCTTCCTCCAAAAGTAAACTTTCAATTTTTTTTCAGATATATAAAATGTTTTCTAACGGTTCAATATGGAGATTCAAATTCAGACTTACAAAGTTTAAATAATAAAATCATTGTAAAATGTCGGGAAACTTAGGGTCAAATGCGTTTCAAATGAAAGCTCTGATGTTCGACTACAAAAATAAACGAACATTTCACTAGAAAAAAAATAGCCAAATTACTTGGATATTCTTAAATGAGATTCTCAGGAATTGATCTCGCTGTGAGTCTAGGAAAGTACCGCCTTCGCCTGTGTCCCTACAGGTGGGACTATAACCAGAGTCTACTCTATAGACTAGATCACAATTGACATAAATCAATCTATGTTATAGAACTAGATTTTATGATACTAATTATTAAACTTATTGTTAATAGAACAGTTTGAGGCACTTATTACTATCAAATGTTGAATGAACAAGCCTTTCGAAACTGGCAGGGGAAGAATAATTCCACGTAAAGAATACCGATATGAGAACGGGATGGTATATAGGTACGGTATCTATGTGGATTATTCCGCACACTACCAAAGTATAATTCAAAGTCACTTCTTGAAATTCTGTCAATTCTCTTAATTTCTTCATCGCCATTCACAAATGCATTTTATTAAAATGTTATCTTCTTACCCAAAGAAAAAAAAAGTATTCATTTTCAGGAACATGTGACTGACGTTCAAGGATCGGTCCCTAATTTCTAGGAATGTATTCCCAATTTTCCGGCATTCATAATTGTGAAATTGAACGAGTGCGAAATTCTGGAATTCTGGAATAATTTTTAGTGCCATTATTATTTATTTCCAGTGACATCGTCATTAATTTCCAACAATAATGTAACTAATTTTCGCGGAAATATCAGTGATTTCCAGGATAATAATAATTTTTTAGAAATCTATGATCAAATTTCAGTGATAGAAGTCAGTGATGATCAGGCGTATCCTAGTCACAATCACCAATTCGTATCACCACGATACGAATAAAATTTAGTGAATGTTCCTGAATACCAGATTTTTTTTCTCCGTGTACATTTGATTTTCGTATGAAGTTTGCATCTCCTGATGCCGACGTCCAACTTACCGATTTTTACCATATTTGTGCAGAAGGTTTAAGGGGAGACTGCTATGAGTTTTAAAAGCAGTGGGCTATAGGAATGGGATTACTCATATATTGAAGATCAAGTATATGTCTAAAAACGAATAATTAGTGCAAAAAAAATTGTTTATTGTTCGTTTGTTTCCCAGATGCTTAGAATGTTAAAATAGTCCTACGCCTCGAATTTTAAAGTTACAGAGGTTTCTTTTTTTTTAATTTTTGAAAAAATGTGTGCAATACAATTACGAATTAGTTTTTTGATATTGGGACTCCTGCACAGCTAATTTCGTTTTTTTTAAATAAAAAATTGCACCATTCATGTAAAATGGCCCAAAAAGTGTTTCTAAAAGAATCGAGAATATATTTTAAATATTTCAGGGATAATTTTGTTGCCTATTTTATATAAATGGCGCAAATTTTTATATTAAACAAAACGAAATGAGCTCTGTAGGGGTCGAATTTCAAAAAACTAATTCGTAATTGTTATTGTACACATTTTTTCAAAAATTGTGAACAAAAAAACCTCTGTAGCTCAAAAATTGAAGGCTCTGGGCTATTACACTAGTATTTTAACACTTCAAGCGTGTGTGGAGCAAGCGAACAATAACCAATTAATTCTTTTGCACTAATTATTAATTTTTAGACATATGTAATCGATCTTCAATACATGAGAAATCTCAATCCAATCGCCCGCGAGTTTTGAAACTCATACTAGTCTCCCCGTAATCGGGGATTTTAGAACTTTGCAAGATCTAAACCTCCCATGTGATCATATTTGAATCCGCTTGAACAGCCAGTAAGTAAAATCCAGTAGCCAAGTAGCAGAACATAGTAAATCAATACTCATTCCATAAGAGCTTATGCTATCTCTCTACTTCACCATTGAATTTAGGAATCAAATATTACATTGCTGCAATGTCTTGTTTGAACAGTTGGTGCTCGACTATACTATTTACAAAGAAGGTATTCCAATGACCTCGAAAATTATTATTAGAAATTGGACATCTCCACGTGTCACGACCCCAAGTGTCTCTCTACGTGTGCACACGATCACACCGTTCTCAAACGAATTCACTCGAATAAACTGTGTCATTTAAAGTCTGTTCCATAGAATCGAGACGTCTTCGATCGTTCCATAAAATCGAACTCAATTACACTATAACCGAAATTGGTTCAATGACATGTCACTTTTGAATAGAACCGAAATCTAGAAACCAAATAAACTTGACAATTTAGTGGAAAGTCGTTACCGTGGATGTCTCAGTTTCCGAACACGTTCTAGTTTTAATCCGTTCGAAAGGTAGGTCTTCTTGGTGATGCCGTCGAGACTAGTCGAGAATTATTTTGAAGAGATCATCACGATCTGGAAAAGCATCGAAAGTTTAGGAATCGTCGCAATCTCGAAAGACATTGGATCGGTGCATCTCGTCACAATTCCGGGAGGATTTATCTTGCCTGGATCTCGAGATTTTCGGTTTTCTAAATTCACGAGACGAGACGGGACAGATATCGAGACAACACGCACGAAACAATTCAATAGAAAAAGTCAATAGAATTCAATTTGTCTACATAACTTATTCTCTTGAAATATTTTCTATAGAATTTCCTCGGCTCAAATTTTTTAAGTTTTTTTCATTGTATTTTCCTTTTCTTCTTATCAAGAAAATTATACAAAAAACTTGGAAATTTTGAGCCGAGCAAATTTTATAGAAAATATCTCAATGGAGTAAGTTATGTAGAAAAATCGAATTCTGTTGAATTTTCCATTAAATATTTTCTATTAAACATATCTATAGAATCGGCCAAAAACTAATAGTAAGTTTAACAGAAATCCAATAGAATTTTCTAATGAATTCGCTATGTTTTTCTATTAAATTTTTTCATGCGTGAAACATTTGAAAAACAGAAAATACGGAAACTCAGACGTGATGGATTCTTCCAAGTTCGTGACGAGATGCACCGATCCAATGTCTTTTGAGATTACGACGATTCCTAAACTTTCGATTTTTTTTAGACCGTGATGATGTTTCCAAACTAATTCTCGTCTATAGTCTCGACGGCATCACTAGTCTTCTAGGTGGCGAATAACTGGCCCTAAAAGTATCCTCAGCTGGATAGGGTATCCGAAAACTAGTACATCTATTTCCTTTCATTGATTATTTGTACACTGATAGAAAGGATTAGTTATTGTTAACGAATGAATTTGGTTGAAGACGAGGGTCTCACCAAATGTTTATTCGTTAATTGTTAAAAAATGCACATTTGCGGGGTCTTGTTTGACTCGATTTTCACTTTTCAAGTGAACCATTCGTTAACTTTCGTCAACTCCGTCATTCGTTCATAGTTAACGAATCTCGTTTGAAATTAAGGTAGACGTCTATTGAACTATGCGGAGGACACGTCAATGAATCTCTCCGGTTCCTCACACGTATAATTTATCCTGAAAATTTCTCGTTATTCAAGTTCTTCAAGCCCATTCCTTAAGGTGTTTCGTGTGTAGATCACCGGGGGGCGAAACGGAAGGGGAGTCTTATTGTTCTCGAGCCCTGATTCAATCGCTGAGCACGAAATTTTCCAATTTCCAAGTAATTATTTAAGTGTGCATTTGACCATTTTTTGAATATTGATTTTATCTATCAGATTGATTGATTTTTTTCTCATCACCTACGGGTGTCAAATAATTTTTATTGGATGTTTTTCTAACTATTGAAATAATATTAAAATGCGTGTCGAGTTGGTAAACCTGTCGAGTGTTTTCTCTCTCTCAGTTCCATGGTCCAACCCATACCTTTCCCATGATGCCCACTGACATTCGAATCACGCGCCTGCGCGTGAAGACGTAATTGCCCCGAAACTCATAATTTTCCGGATCACTTGTTGAAATAACTTTCTTATGAAATGTGAAAAAAATCTGTAACTTATACGTATTCTCAAGAAAGATTTGATTTATCACCCACTAGTTTTTCCTCAATAGTTCATAATTTTTTGAGTGCCATAGAAATTTCCCTAATTGAGAGTGGAGAAACCTCGGAGGCTATAGCTCGAGAGATTTCAAAAACATCCAAATTTCATTATTTTTTTTCTTGAAACTGAGATCTGAAAGAAAATGTGCAAGAATTCTCAGTGACGCAGTATACTCAGACATTTCTCCCATGAATTTTCCATTTTTTTTCATTATTGTGACTTTTTACACGAAACACCTTAAGTGTCTGGAAACGAATGCAGCCATACTAATAGACCGTCGCACTCGCGCTAATCACTTCCCTCATGGAAAAATATATAATACAGGCCAATTTAATATATTCTTCGAACGTATATAAAATTTAAATAAAATATATATGAAACATATAAATTCCTATTTTATGTAACGTTTATATATACATCAGGGCAATTCCATACATAAAATATATAATGTTCAGAATATATATTTTTCAGTATGGGCTTGCATGTGACACCCCCGATTTGGAAAGCGCGGCTCCGCGAACAAGACATCGATTTTTTTGCTCCTTATCTAAATAGATTTTTCCGCACACAGGCTTTTGTTATGCAGTACGATCGCAAAGACGACGAAAACCTCAAGATCTTTTGAGAATAACCGTTCAGTTTTCGACGGAGTGATTTTCTAGACGGGTCTCCATGGAAATTTGAGATCATCTGTTAGTCTCAAACGCCCATACCCCCGAAATTACCATTCACCTCATTCACCCAGCCACCCATGCGCTATTTTTCATAGATATAACGCTCGTCCTCCGGTTCAGATCCTCTTGAATTTCCTGCAGAGTCTTTCCCTTCGTCTCCGGCACGAAAAAGTAAATATAAATAATTCCTATTACGTTGCAAACTGCGAATATCCAAAATCCAACGTGGGTTCCCACCGAGTCACAAATTATCTGGTAAACTTTGCCGACCCCAAATCCGACTATGTACGTACAGAACACCGCGGTAGCACAACCGAGGGATTTCGTGTTGGTTGGGAAAAGCTCACCGGTCATTGCTGTTGGAAGTGGAGCAAGTCCAAGGGAATAAAATACGACGTACAACATACATCCAGTCGCGGGGAGCCACTCGATGTGAGAAGTATCAAAAGCCGAGGATTTCAGATGGAAATAAGCGGCAATAATGGTGGTAGATACGAGCGATCCAACTGTCGAGGACAGGAGAAGCGGACGCCGGCCGAAATAATCGACCAGGAAGCCGCAAACACCAGTGAAGAACAGCTGCACGACGCCTAGAATTATCGCCATGTACTTCCCCGCGACGGCTACATGTGCGGCATCAAATATATTCTGCGCGTACAGCATGATTGCCTGGCTTCCGGACAACTGTTGAATCACCCCCAGAACGACACTGACGAACAAAGACGTTCGATTGCCGGGAACGAATAGAAGCTCGCGGAATCCACCACTGTTCGCCATCTCGGCTTTGACAGATGTCTCGATGCGATCCAATTCCTCTTGAATGTCTTTTGTGCCTCTGAGACGTATCAGGGATTTAGCAGCAGCATCCCTCTTCCCCTTTCGCATCCAGTGATAGGGGGACTCCGGTAGGAAAATGAAGGACAGTACGTATACCAGTGGCAGGATCATGGACACCAGTGCTCCGACAGCGATGGACACGAAAGGATACACCGCGTAGGCGAAGAGTATTCCGAGTCTCGAGGACATTATGATGAACGCTAAGAGCGATCCTCGACGATGGGGGGGTGATATTTCTCCGAGATACATCGGCATTACGCAAATTGCAGTTCCTGTGCCCATTCCACTTATGAACCTCGCGAAATACAGGTGCTGAAGGGAAACAGAAAAATGGCATTGCGATTAGAGTCCTTGGTCAAATGTATCTTAATGAAAAAAAGGTTGAGTCCTTAGAGATAGTTCCGTCATTTTCTGGGAATTTTAATTTCATTTCTAGATCAATTAACCCTAGTCTGGTCACCTGACCGGAAAATGCGACTTTAGTCACCTTCGCGGGAGAGTGCCGCCGTGTTATTTCGGCTCCAGCGTTGCCGAATCCACTCTACACTTCCCGGGCACGTTTAGCAAGTTCCCAGCAACGTCGTGGAACAGGCAATTTCATTCGACACAGGAAAAAATTGTTCACCTGTTGGAAATAATTTTTTTTCTCCCAGAATTAAGGATACAATATTGAAAAAAAATACTAGAATTTTTCAGATACTTCAATTGACGAATTCAATTTTTCTCAAATTTTTCCGGTCAACCAGTCGATGGCAAGGTGAATAAAACGACGTGTTGCGGCAATTCCCTCGCATGGTGACCAGTTTAGGGTTAATCTTGACACTAACCAGAATTACCCGGAAATTGGAGGATTCAATCAATGAATTTAGCGACAAAATGTCCAAGATTTAGGATTATGTCACTGGAAATTTGTGACGACATCAATCGATTTGAGGACTTTTTACCGGTTTAATGTTTGAATGCCGCAGATTCTCAGAAACTGATACTTTTTTTCCGTGATTGAAGAAAGACGGTTTAGATAGAGGCTATCCGTGTCTAACCGATTGACTGCTAAAACAAGTTGATATCTCGATTTTTGCACAAACTAGAGTAATTACAAAGTTTTTCATAAAAAAACAGAACAACGGGAATATCTCAAAAACTCTGTATAAACGGGTATATATGTTTCGAATAATTCAGATGGAAGGAATAGAAACAAATATTTTGAAAGAAAATCGAAATCGGTCCAGTACTTTTGAAGATATTTGCCGCAAACGATTTAAAAACGAATCGCTTTCTCTCGAAAACTATTACTATTATTTCCAACCAAAATTAGCGAATGCAACAATTAGATGATGACAATGCTTTCATTTGAAAGCAAAAATGGAAATTTTATGGGCAGTGTGGTAGTAATTTTTAGAAGACCAGAGTCGAATATTTTAAGTTGTAAAGTCCTGGAGACGACGGTCTTACACGCACGAAAAAAATGAATAGAAAAACCTGTAGAATTTGTAAGAAAATTCTATTGAATTTCTATTAAACTCTCTATTAGTTTTTGGCTGGTTCTATCGACATGTTCAATAGAAAACGTTGAATAGAAAAAGTGAACAGAATTCGATTTTTCTATAGAACTTATTTTTTGCATATATTTTCTATAGAATTTGCTCGACTCAAATTTGCCAAGTTTTTTTCATTCTATTTTTATTTTGTTCTCATTAAGAAAATCAAACGAAAGAACTTTGAGCTGAGGCAATTCTATAGAAAATATCTCAATAGAATAAGTTATATAGAAAAATTGAATTCTATTGACTTTTTCTACTGAATATTTTCTATTGAACATTTCAATAGAATCGGCCAAAAACTAATAGAACAGTTTAATAGGAATTCAATAGATTTTTCAACGAATTCGATAGGTTTTTCTATTTACTTTTTTCGTCCGTGATCCGGACGGCGAATGACTCATTTTTCGTTGCATTCCTGATTTACGATATAATTTCTGTGTGTACAGTTAACTGATAATTAGAGAAATGTGCCATGTCTTTTTCTGATTGGCAATATGCACCACATTATCCATACGCTCACGGTGATTGATCATTTATCCGTCAATTTGAAAAATTAATTGGAAGTAAGGAATAACAATTATGTATGGACAATGGATAACGAAGATGTGCAATTGCGATATCGGAGATGAAGATAGATCAAGGATTTCTCGAAAAAAATTCAATAGAAATTCAATAGAATTTTCTAACGAATTCGATAGGTTTTTCGATTAAATTTTTTCGTCCGTGTAATTATTCCGGTTATGCCCCGTTTAGGAGGATTCCAAAGTCCCTAAGGATTTGCCCGATTCCAATATTTCAGTCTGATCTAACCTCTGGAAGACTTTCAAAATCTTTTTTTGACCTTCGACCAAGTTTTCGAAGACCTTTCAAATCCTAAGTTGTGTGCTGACCCTGCGGACCCAGGAAAATGGGTTATTTGAATTAAATAAACTTTATTGGAATCCAATCAATCCTCCAGTAGAATGAAACAGATGATGTATTTGATTCAAATAAACCATTTTTCTGCGTCTCTGAAAAAATTATGAAGTTTGTATTCATAATATTTTTATTCATCACAAATTATTGTTCATTTTATCATGAACGAATCTTGATATTGACATGAATGGAATACCGAGAAAGTAGTCCGCTATGTCTTTTCCCAAACCTTTGAAAAACCTGAAAACCTTTTAACCGAGACATGACTAGAATAATTCTGCCGCCGTCTCCCGGACTTTTCTACTCAAAATATTCGACCCCTGGTTGAACTACATTGAATTCAATTTAGGATCGGAAAAAATGATGAATTTCCAAATTTCACTGAAAATTCAATGGGAACCCATTTTTTTGAGTAGCAGGAAGGCGATTTCTTGAACAACTCACGTGAATTTTCCATAAAACCAGGATATTCAGGATATTCAGTACCAAATTACACTGAAGTTTCAATCAATTCAATTACTTCTTGATAGCTACTGATGTTTCGTGGAATAACTGATTTTAAACTGATAGTTTCCATTGATTTTTTCATCGAATTATGAATTTCGAATGGTGAAATTCCGCGAAATTTCCATGAAATCGTCAGTTGATAAAAATTTCCAAAAAGAGGACCGGTAATTACAGCTTGAAATTTTTAACAGTATTGAAAGTAACGCCGGAAGGGACACCATTTGTACCAAAAATAATCCTAATTTTATCATCTCCAATCACTATTATCTCTAGTAGCGGTAACGGACATTTCTTTTCTTTTTTT